ATTGGAGTGGTCGAAGGAAACCCTTTGTCCAGGGGTGGACACACACACACACATAAGGATTTGTGGATGTTTGTGGCATGAGGTGTTAAACCAATACTCCACAAACTATCCACAATCCTGTCATTCTAGGGTTTGGTGGCGGTTTGTGGTGTTTGTCGCCTGCTCAGCTTGGAACCAGGTTCCTCTGATCGGCTTGGCGTTTTTCTTCAACGGGTTTGGACCCCCTTTGGATCAAACCCAATGGTCCTGTAAATTGGACGACTGTAGACCTAAATAGAACCCTGGAAGTCAAGTCGACCATGTTTAAAAATGGTTGACCAGGGCCTTGAACTTACTCCCCTTGGTTTTCGACCTTTTTCCTTTTCTCAGCTGTTTCAAACCAACCCACGAGGGTTTTCCATCAAAACCAAGAAGCCATTTGCCAGGCAAACCCCCCACCCCGGGACGACACCTCCGCCATCCCACGCGACGTACGTCGAGCTCGTCGCGAGCCGAGCGTGGCGAACGTAGCTGGGCACCTACAATGGACTTCACCGTTGTAGCAGCGATTCCGGCTGGGAGCTGCGCAGCGCTTGGTATACATGTCAAGGCACACCTGGTCACCAATTGTCACCAGTCTCCCGGTCTTGGAGAACGAAAAGAGTCCCGGAACTTTGGGGACACAACAGGATTCAATGTGTTTTCTCTGAGTGGCATATGACCAGGAGCTTCAACATCACTTCATGCAAGTCTCACATTCTACTTCAGTCTACAGGAGTGCAATGGACAGCCTCTAGGAGTGCAATTAAGTCTCGCTAGTACTTCCCAACAAAGTTTATGCCTTGGGTATAGCCCAATCCCTCTACTGTAACACTGTAACAGTTGATGATGATGGTTAGGTTGGATTCCTTTCTCAAGCATGGTGATGATAATATAAGTAGTCAATCCTTTATCGACTGTCACTGGTAATGGGACACACCCAAGTTGTGCCATCATCTGGGCTTGGGTGTTCATAATGGAAATGCACACGCAAGATCTAGCAGCTCGAAATATGCCGGCAAAAAATGATTCTGTTAGGAAGGGCAATCGACGGAAAGCCGGGCGAGCTAAGCTCCCCTGTTTCGAACGGATGTTGGTCAAAAAGCACCTACTAAACACACAACTCCCTCAAACACAACACCATCTTGTCCATCAGTATGCGATCTGACAATGCCAGGTGCTATGTCATTGAGACACCGCCAGTAGAGGAACGTCAACATCCAAAGTCCCTGTAGAGGCAGTTTTCATCCATGTTACTCAGGAAGTGGTAGTCTTTTTAGAGCTATGACTACGACACTCTGGTTCCTGGTTGTGCCACATGGATTGGATGTCCAGCATGGCCGAAGACATTTCCAGGCCCAGCTGCATAGAGGTCCTGAGGCGAACTGGCCCTGCTCCAGTCGCGACAAGGCTCCTGTGCCAGGTCCGTCTGTCCGTCGGACACGAAAAGACGCAGGGCTCCAGACCCGAAAACAACCCCCCTGTGTTAGTTTGGGCCCCGGAATCTTATCTTGACTTGCTTAATTAAAGGGGAATGAGGAATGGATCCAAAATGATCCAAAGGAACCTCTATTGGAAGCTCATTCCCTTATCGCCCTTATTCCCTACTAAGCACCGGTCAGTTGCGTGGGAAAATTCCCTCTCCCCATCTGCACAGTCGAGGTCCGCCACGTTGCAGGTAGAGCTGTGTGGAGCCAACCAGGTCCGCCCACACTCTGAGGCTTGACAAGGCAAGAACTTGCTGAATTCACCCTACAAACATCAGAATTCCCATCAAAATGGAGGTATTTTAAGGTATGTAAGGGTGTCCTCCACCTCAACCACTTCAAGGAAAGAACTTTGGGAAGATTGAGAAGGTCGCACGACCGTCCCAGGGTCCGAAGAACACGCATCTCACGTTTTGGGCTGCAACCACAGAGACAGCAAGAGTTCCAGAAAAATAATCTATATAGACCCCAAAAATTGATAGACAGAAAAGTAAAACACCGTTCAATGTGTATCGGACATCGTTTCAATTTTTTGGGGACCACTATAGGGCCATAGCCAAAACACGACCAATGGGACTTGTTTAGTAGGGTGGTTGGGAGGGTCGATGTCGGCATATCATATCTCATCTCCCATCCATGGAGTGTCTGAGTAGGTGCTTTGATATATCAGTTGAAATTTGCTCCTTGGGAGGTCCTTGGGAGCAGGAAAAGGCTCGAAGAGTTCAACATCTCTCAAGTATTTGGAGGTTCTTCCTCCTCACAGGTGGCTACTCTGTCGTACACAGGAATATGCTTCAATGATATGCAATGACTCCATACCCATAATGACCCCCATATGGTTTACCCCCTACTCGCCCTGGACCTCCTCTTTGAGGGTCCAATCATCTTCGGTTTGTGGGTGCGGGGATGGACTCCGCTGAACATCGGACACATGGAACCAAACACGTGTCTTGACTTCCCCACAAACGATCCCATAGAACCTGAGAATTGATCCGTGGAAGACGATTCTCCTCTACAACCCAGTAGTTTGGGTTCCATGTGGTCCTCTGCAGGGGAGTACATTTTAACTCATGGTGAACATGTTCGTTGATGTCTTTATCCATGATGCGGTCTATGACCGCTTGCCACATGCTAGCCATCGTACCTAGACACCTGACGCTCCTCCCCTCATCGGCGTCCTCACAGGTAAAAGGCCCCTGTCGCGCGAGAAACAGATGAATGGCGCCAAGAGGATGCAACCCAAGTACATCAAGATTCACAATCATGTTTGTTCATGAAACATTCATGTTCCCTTCGGTGTCTTACATTATATAGAGGAAAGTGATTGTCATTTCATAGAGCCTCATGTACGGGGGATGTTTGTTCATGAAACATTCCTGAACATGCAACTGGATTGAACACGATTTCAACACATTGGCTGGCCGACTGTTCGAAGCTCACATCCATGGAGGGCCCGTGTGGGTCAGGAATCGTGCCCTGGAAGGAGCATAGAGGAGCTGCTTGGCCACATGGATGTGGGTCAACACCAGGAGACCCTAGTGGACTACAGTTGACTTTCCTACGGGGACCCATCCCGACATCTCTTGATTCCTTCTGGCTCTTCAGCTTGTCTCCGTCTTCTTGCCCGCCTCCCGACAACCGTCCCTCCAGCGCGGAGCGCCCATGGACACGCACGAACAGAGTGCACGGACCGTGTGTCCAGCGCCTGAAATTGGGCATTCGGAGCCACAACGAAGATGAGGAGCATAAACAAGGCCACCATGGCACAGGTGGAGGCGACCTGGCTTCCGTGGGGAGGCCAAAGGAATCTCCTTTTGGCACAGTGTTTGCCCCAGCTCTGTGTGGCATGCCGTGGCCTCCGTGGCATGATGTGGCTAGGTCAACAGTGCTAGTTGCATTGGTGCATTTGCAACAGCAACTTGCATCGCACTCGCTGATCTCGCTGCCTCATCTCGCTGATATCCCTGAAAAATCCCTCTCTCGCGCATGAATCAATTGCCCAGAACGGAGTTCCTCCTCTCCCTTTTTCTTATAGTGGGTTGAGAGTAGATGGCGCAATCCCCAAAAGGTGGTTTACATGGACCCCTAATATAAAAGACATCTTGGGGTTTGTGCCATCTACTCTCAATCCACTGTAATGTTGTATATGAACCACGTTTGCTTTGTGGTGGCCATGGGGTGATCCGGAGAACCATTGAAGAAACACTCAAGCTTCGCCCAAACGCAGCAGCACGGCGGCATGTTCAAAAGATGGATGAAACCATGCTCTTTCCCTCATCACTCTTCTCTTATTCAGGAATGTAGGCTACAAAACCACTCTCAATCCTTTCTCTTTATGCTCTTGGTGCGCCAGGAGCAACCTCAAAACTCCTGAACGTCCCTCAGAACACCAAGCCCTAGGCCCTAGGCCATAGAGCAGGACCTTCCAAGAGGTGCAATATCCTCTTCGAGGTGAGGCGGGGTGTCCCAAAACCACCGGACGAGAAGGGCTAGGTCCTGGTAGAGGTGCAGCCCTCAACACTTCGTCTGTCTTGCTTTCCAGAACTCAGGCTCCAGCCGCCGTCATTAATGAGACCCTCGGCACATCCAGGCCATGTTTGCTTGCAGGGAGTGTCGGTGACGTTTCCATGTCTCGTTGGACATCCGTGCCTTCTGGTCATGACCCGTGAACAAACGGAAATGGATTAACCCCCAAAGACTTCATGCATGGACTACCCTGTGCATCCACATACCTTCTGAGCTGCGGTGATTGGAGAGACGATCTTCCAGGTTGGAGGGTCCAGTCGCACTGAACCGAGGTACGGTGCCAGTGGATCCCCAGCGATAGCTGCCAATATTGACTCCCCAAACCACCACTGGCCTCCCCAGTCCCCACCACTCCTGGCCGAGGACTCTCCGCATCTCTCGGGTCCCCAAACAGGTCATTTGACCGAGTGGTGTCTGACCGGAAATCGCACTGGTGCAGGGCGTTCGCGCAACAGCGTGTTGAGCGAAATCGCAGGGCGAGGGTTCGCGCCAGCGTGTTGCGCGCAAGCACCATAGATTCGGACCACGAGCCAAAAACATCGTAATCAGTAATGAGCAAAGAATATGAACAAACGTGAAAGAATAAATGATACATGATCTCATCAATGAGAATGAGCATGACAATGTTTCTTCGATCACTCCCTTGGGCGTGCCAAAAAGGGACCCAGTTGTGGATGGATGGGCATATCTGGACAATTTGGATTTGCTTTAAGGAACCCGGGCCAAAGATTTAAAACACAACTGAAATCTTCCCCGAATTCAGCGGCCCAGTTTGGATCAACGTTACCCCAAGAAAAAAAAAGCATCCGATCCACAAAACTCTAGGACAGTCACAACGTTTGTTTCGCACTGTCCTAGTCGTGCTCATCCCATCTTCATGGTTCCACCCTCTACCGACTTCTGACTCCGGAGGCAGCCAGCCGTGGTGCCGTGCCACAGCTGCCTCTTGTGGCAAGGTATCTCTTACAGACTGCGGCTTGCAGTAGTGCATGCCTCGGCTGTGAAACACCGTCCGATATGACATGGACACCCTCATGAAGGGACGGCGTCATCCACTATGATGAAGTCAAACATAGTCAAGAACTAAGCAACTTGTGAAAACCGTTGATTATTGTACTGCAGCCCACACAAAGACATCTTTCTGTTCGACAAGCGTTTTTGAAGGTTCACCTTGAACATCTTGAACTATCTTGAACTAAAGTGTTGCTCTTCTTATCTCTTCTCTCACTTGCCCAGTGGCCGGCGACCACGAACCAAAACAAAGGCCCCACAGGGCCAAAGCAAAGGCATAGGAAGCAGCCTAAGGCATACCTTAGAGCCGCATACAGGAGCCACACTGTTCCGCATTTGTTTGTTTGGCACCATTTCGTTGTCCTTCTCCTTCGGGACGGTGACCAGAATCAAACCAAAACGCTAGGCGACTTGGGTATCTCCCATGATCTCCCATGCCCTCCTGGAACAGTGGATGATGGGTAGATTGCAGACCGACATCTCTGACTCTGAAATAGTGATTCCATGTGATTCCCATGATCTTTACCGACGGGATCCAAGGTTCGTCATGGCACACTCCCAGGTTCGTTGTCGCTCCTTCCGGAAGTCCCGACAAACGACTCCAGTTGTGCCGACTCAGCAAGTTGACTCTGAGGATCTTCCAGGTTTTTTGGGGCAGGACATCAAGCATTTCGATGAGCGTCCACTGATTCCCAAAGGCAGGTCTGCTCCATCTAGATGAGTTGGGGGTTTCACCATCCATCGATTCTCCTTTTGCAGAGCTGACTTGCTTCATTGGGATTCCTTGCTCGAGAAGCTGCCAAGATGCAGCATCCAACCAGTGCCTGCACCTCTTTCATCCGCAGTTGGAGGGCGGGAATCCCCCCCATCCATAGTTACCACCATAGAGGCTGGAACCGATCATGTCTGGATTCCTCGGTCCGATGCTGTTCCGAAAAAAAGAACGGTTCTTCTTGGCACGCCATATAATTAATATATACTTCTGAAACCTGCTTGGTGGCTCCGAAGAAGAAGAGACAGTGGATCAATCATCTCAAGGTGAAAAGGAAGAAGAATCTCCGAAACTACTACCCAGAAACCCACATTGAAACCCAGTGTGGTTCTTATCAGATTCACCCTCTGGCCACCAAACCATGCAGAATGGACAAATATGGCCCCACATATCTGATGTGTCAAAAATAACAACATATCTACGTAACTAGAGAGGAACATAGAGGAACCATGAGGAACCACAACAATTGATGAACACCTGCGTTTCATATGGGTGCGCGATATGTGCGCGATCTCTTTCATCAGGTCCAATGGTCGTTGGTGTCCGTGTTGATTTGTTGAGAGCAACCTCTCGCACAGGGACTGGCACTTGTCCAGGCTCCTGCCCCCCAGGTTCCCCAAAGGCCCGAGGGTGAGTACTACGGTGGCACCAACAGGGGAAGCCCACACAGAAACGGATCTCAAAATAGTAGACTGTTGACACTACTGTTGACTATAATAGAACCACCAGACTGGTTTTACATCTTGATATGGGGGTTAATCAATATTTCCCTAGGGCTCCAAGACCTTCTGAGAAGATGGTTGGGGTGGGTTTTGGGGGTCTAACCACCTTCTGAGGATATGGTTGGAGCCCTAGGGTTTATACACTGACTCCTTCAGTTTCCCTGGAAAATAAAGGTCCAGAGTCCAACTGGTTAGCGTTTGTCCACCTGTTCAGTTGGGCAGGTGATCCACTGTTGGGCAAATGATCCACTCTCGAATCACCAAAACCCGTCCAGAGGTGGATTCTAAAACCTCTTCAGGCGCTGGGAAGGGATGACACTTCCAGCCTACACCCTAGGTCTACATCCAACTTTCAGGTGAAAGCATCCACGTCTGGAGAGTCAAAGCTGCGGTTGATCATCCAAAGTCTACCTAGCACTTCCAATGGATGCCCTGTCTGGAGACCTATGTACGTAGGGTAGGGTGGTCTAGACAGGACACCCAGAGTGGTACATGATCCTGGTATGATCCCTCCCTTCTTGTTTTGGAGAAGGGCCTGCAATCTAACCATCATCATCCACTGGTACTACGTATCATCCAAAGTCTACATGATGGTCTCCGCCGGTGAACACCGGCAGACCCAAACAAACGGTCAAACGCTGCTTCCACCACGCAGCGTTTGGGGGTCGACGAAGTCCACCGCCCCACCGGCCGCACGTTCGAATCGAGCGACCCGTAGACCGGTTGGCCCGAGCCATAGACTGGTTGACCCACCACCTGCCGATAGGGAGGCGGTGGCATCTGCGCCACCGCCTTGCGGGCTGCCTAGGGAAGCAAGATACCAAGAAAACATAGTATATACAATAAAAAAGACAATCTTTTTAAGGAAAAACCACGATGTTTTCCAACATGTGTTTTGGACCTGACGGCACGCAGCTGTGTTTTGGAAGGAAAGGTGCTAAGGTGGTGGTGGGGTTTGCTGTTCAATTTCAGTGATGATCCGGTTCACGGACATGATGTAGAGAGCTTTCCAGCGATATTCCAGGTGATCCGCGGCGATCCGCGGCGATCCGCGTTCCAATCTCTCTTTCCTAAAGGTTCCAGGGGTAAAGTAAGGGTGTTGAAGTCGAACTCCAGTGGGTTCAGGTGGTCCCCAGCCAGCAGTCCAGTCTCCTACTGAACTCACTTACAGTAGAATATATTGAGTTCCCTTGCGGTATCTTTTCAGACTGTTGCTGAGTGGGGATTGGATAGTAACTCATGATGGAACTCCAGTTGCGAAGTCCATGAACGATGTCCATTGTGAGTCCAATAGGGCAAGAACAACAGACTAGACCCTTGTAGGTTGCAACCCTTATGACCTCTGCAGCCGATTCTGCACAGGCAAAAACACGTCGCGCCGGCGGCGCAGCTGGTAAAGCACCGCGCGCCATTTCTTGTTTAAATGATGCGAGTGCCGTACTTCTCAACGGCTTTCTCATTCAGCGTCAGGCCAAGACCAGGCTTGGAAGAGAGCTTGATGATGCCTTAGCTGTGCGCTGTTGAATTTACAGCTGAGGCATTGTTTGTTGACGAAACCAAATTTGGGCTGGGGCACAGGAACATAACACCTTGTTGGACTCCTAACATTGGCCACTCAAGCCAAGTCAACCTGGGTGTTCTTTGTCAGAACCTTTTTGGTGCGCACCGACTTAACATGCGTGAAGTGTTGCCGAAAATGGAGTCAGGTTGAAGCTCCTGCAAGCAAGACACCATCTTTGATTTCAGGTGCATCCTGAGAACAGGCAGCTGTGGCACTGTGGCCCAGGGTTCAACATGGTTCCAACAACTTGGTCCTCCTTCTGCTTTGGAACCGGCCAGTACTCTTAAACCTCAAACATCCGCAAAATTCCTCAAATACTACAACCGCTATAAACCACTCAAAAACCACAAAGCTTCTACTCAAACATCAAACAATCTAAACGCTCTGCCCAGGCTGCCTGGAAGGCCCATCGTTTGATCAATCCAAGGCGTAGAACCTTTTCGCAACGTATTGAACATCTACACTCTCTGAAATAATCATGGAAGTGGAGCACCTCATGGTACAGGGAAATGGTCATCCTTGCGGGGCGCCAAGCCTACTGAAAAAATCGGAAGACCGCTTTCCGCAGGCGAATTCGAATTTCTGGAAGGTTCGGAGAAATGGACCAGTTGACCCACCCAGCGCCCGAAAATAACTCATTTCTCCTTCAAAATGCACAACCCCACTTGGCGTCCATCTCCCTACCACCGCTCCTCCACCCTCCGCGCCTCAAAGAGCTCTGCCTGGAGCGGATCGCGCTCCGGGTCGGTGAAGGCCTCCACGATGAGCCCCGCGGGCGTGGAGGCCACCAGCTGCGCATGGATGAAGCAATCGTGATGAGGAGCCACCTGTGCAGTGCGGACAGGAAGCTGCTGGCGGGAGCAGGCGGAGGTAGGACGGCAGCGGAGGAGCTTGAAACAGCGTGGGAGAAGCCGCAAGTGTGGTAGGACGGCGGGGCGACAAGTAGAAAGGAAGGAAGCATGGAGTTGGTGGGGGGGCGAGCCAAAGGTGTGACATGGATGTATATTAAAGAGCTAGAAGAGCACAATGAAACATGGGTGGGTGGAAACAAAACCGCGTAAGAAAACTTATCTTAAGAGGGTGACGTTACTGTTTGAAACGGCCATGTTTCACTTCATGTTGCGCCTGGGGGGCGCAATTGGAACAGGAGACGCGTCGCCAAAAAACTCTTTCCCCATGGGGGGAAGAATACCGGTTCCCATATCATGACATCACATAATCAGATGGCACCAGCTTCCCCAACGGATGCAAGACGTTTAGCAGGCCTTCGCTCAACATATGCTCCCCCCACTCCCTAGCATCGTGTCCACCTGGTAGAAGAACTTTCTATCTCCCAAACAACTGTGGCCAGTGGCGGCAGGAGGTATATACATCGAAGGAAAACAACACATTGACATACTTTTGTGATTGTTCACGTCTGTTCCCACGACGACCACCGGTTGTTAGCATGACATTACTTCCACGGAATCCTCCCAATCTTGATAAGCAACCTTTCTTCGAGAAGGGTAAGCCATCTACGAAAGAGACTCGAGGATTCCTTGGTCTTCGGCATGGCCAGGAGACACCCGAGTTCAAGGGGCGCGTAATGACCAGTGCGGCCGATGCGCGGACATTTGCTCGGTCAGTGCTGGAGGTACTTCGAGGCTTTTCCGAGCAATATTCACCCTCCCATTCGAGTGAGCCAGCTTCGGTGAAGTCAATCAATCCCTACATCAATCATCAATCAAAAGCATCAATCTACCGTAGTCTACCTAAGAAAACCAAAGAAATCCATATATGGATCCCATAGCAGGAGTCCGAAATCCAACGCCATTTCGCCTTCCTTGCCCGGAGGTTTCACTCGGATTCTCGCCACCTGCACGTGATTCAGCTCACAAAGCGCAGCCAGTTTCCGGCCCTCGGTGAAGCCGCCATACATGGTGGCATCGAACTGGAGGATGGAGATCGCTTGTTCTTCCAGCAAGGCACGGCAACCGTAGCTGGTAAATTCACTCTCACCTGGAAGAGAAACCATGCCGCAACACTGCGCCCCATCGGTTCAAACCCTTGATGTGCGGCTTAAACCAAAGACAACAGCTTCTTGAATCCTAAGAGCTCGGCGGCTGGCAAGGGTTGTTCCGGTGGGGGGCGTGGTGCGCCCTTGTAAGCCGGGACGACGGTGAGAAGAAGAGCTGTTCAGCTGGCAAACAGCTTTGAAGACCCACGGCTAGAAGCCCAAAGCCACGCACCAAGCCACACCCAGGTGATGGCAAAATGACCCATGTGGCCATGCCCTGCCATGACTTCTTCTTCTTCTTCTTTGGGGCCTTTGGACATCGACCTGAGGCCTTGGACGATGGTGATTTCATGCTATACCTATACTAATTACACTCCCTGAAATCATGCTGGAAGAAAATCGGCCCCTGGAAGAACGTGTTTCTCTACCAACAGGTGGTGAACTAACTCCACTTCCATGTCGACTCGGCGAGCGTGTTCCAGGCCACGAGTCTGGGCGCAAAAGAACACCTTTCTGGATCATCCGTTCGGGGTTTCCGGGTCGACGGGCCTACGATTTGCTTCAGGAACCGGGAAGAACAACACATATTCACCAGAAGGGGATTCACCCATAATAGGGAAAACATCAACAGAAGCCTTATAGTCGGTATAAGCCAAGCCAGGTACACTACTCATGGACCTCCATTGGCCACCCATTGGATGATCGCATCTGCAGTCCGATCCGCCCCACCTCCACTCAAAGGGATGCTGGTGCGTTGTGCCAAGAGCTTCAACAAGCGCCTATCATCCTGGTGGAGAAAATGACGCCGATCATCGTGAAAACGAAGGGACATCAGGAGACTGTGAAGAGATGAAACTTGGATTTGCGGCTCCTAGGAGCCTGGGCTATTGTGCTGGCGGGCCGTGGCCGGCTGGCGGGAAGAAAACATCTATTGTGGTGGCCAAAAGGACCACATCGCCAGTTTCAGGGGATTTCACTCAGGAACCAAGAATATGAACCTCGTCACCTCCACCCGAAAAACACGGTTAAACACAATATCTTGATAATTTAGGCATCTTTAGGCCAAAAAGCTGTATCTTGACCCGTATCTTTGACGGTTCGAGGTCCCCCACGCCCGGTGCTTTTTTCCCATCACGGGCTCCTCCCAGGCGACGGGTTCCTCCAGCCAGCGGGGTCGAAAGGCTTCCAGGAGCTTCACACCCTCACAGGCAGTGCGGAAGTCCCAGGCGCGATTCACATCAACCATCCTGAATTCGTGGCCGAATTCGGCACCTCAAGACCGGCAAAGGCTGGGAATGCAGAGGAGGACTTCGGCTACGGAAAAGAATCCTCGAAAGTTGGTAGGGAAACGGGGAAACATGGAAAAACCCGTCAATATATTGGGATCAATCAGGATTGACAATGACCAAAACATACCAAAACCACATGGGTGGGCCTCCTGACAACTGGTCAAAGGACCATCTAATGTTCTGAACGACCTTTAGAGTTGGCAAGATATGGGGAATCGAACGCGGGTTCAGTGTTCCGCTCCGGCTACATTCGGGATCATTTACTGATTCCATCATGATTCCATTTCAAACAGTGAGCACTATACAGTGACCTGCCAACATGTCTAGCTGCAGAACCCCCCCCGTCTAGCTGCAGCACCGCCCTACACACCGACTTCAGGGACATCGGACCGACCACGGTGGCCCAGGTTGGACCTTTAGACCCCAGCATCAAGTCCGCCGCGTCGCCAATGACCTCGCGGATGACCCGCAAGCGCTCCATGTCCTCGCTGAGGGACAGGCCCCCGATCTTCACCTTGAAGCCCTTGTGACCTCAGACTCTGCGCCATCCAGGCATCCCCAAATGGAGCGGAGGAACCCCTGAGCTCGATTGGTGGGGCGGTGGAGTTCCACCCTGGGTCTTAGAGTCTTCTGTACCAACAAATATCGGATATTAAATATCGGCATGTTCCATCCATCACAGCCAGCCAAGTTAGGCAGGTCAAATCCATCTCTGCAGTGACCCTTGCTACGAATCCGACTCTGTCATCCTCAAGCCCTTGGGGTAGGACCAATTCCTGAAATACATCCGATGGCTAAACTCGCCGGACTAGCCCGAATGGTCTGAAACCTGCAGGACTGGCCACCTTGCTCTACCATCATCTGCAGGTCATCCCGAAGCTCCTGCTCGTCTTTGCCTTCTCTGTAGTAGCCACAGGTAGCATAGCAGGCCACTTCATCCTTAAATCCGCCAAAGAGCTTGTACCTGAAATGAACTGGTGTAAAAAGCGCAACTAAATTCTTCAAACCATGCTTTTTACAAGGGCACAACTTTGCTCATTTGATGAAGCATGTCCGGGTCAGAAAATCACACACCTTGGAACACAAGTCTTGCAAATACCGATCCGTTACACGGGCAAACTACTCTTCGGATCTTTTTCAGGAATCATCTTGGGAAGATTGTGCGATCCTGTGTTCTCCGCGGCCGCTGTACTAACCCTTGAAACATGAATCATGCTTCGCCAAGCTGAAGGAGGAACGGGTTGGATTCTAGGATGCACCAAAGCTTCGAGGAAAACAAATCCTTCAAAACCCTGCAAAGAATGGCTCAGCCTAGGAGACAAGGGCAAGTTGGCAGCTTTTCCCACGATGTCCCAACATGCCAAGTCCACTGCTGCGCTCAAGCGGATCATGGCTTCCCGGGACCAGCCCCTCTCACTGGCCAGCTTGTTGGCAGTGTGCTTGAAAATCTTCTGATAAATCCTCTCAGGCGCCAACGCATCCTCGCCTCAGAGACGGAGACGTCTTGGAATCCCCCAGGCGTCTTAGACTGCGTTTTCCATGGGTGACGGCACTGCTGACACTTCGATTTGGAGAGGAGTTGCTCTGGCTTGCTACACAGCCGAGGCCCCCAGGAACTGGCTTGCTACACAGCAAGAAAACCCTCCCATCCCCTGATACTTTCTGTCCCCGCTGTCCCGGCAACCCCGAGAACAACATGAGTCCTGTGCAAGACAAAGTTGAAACACAAGTCCAAGAGGGACAAACTCCCTCTTCATTTCCAGTGTTGCCCGGAATGCCTAGGGATCTGAGGCATCTTGTTCTTGAGGAATTTGAGGAATCAAGGACTCATCCAAAAGTGATAGGGTTGTAAGAATCAAGGATTTATCGAAACACCGCCCTCTCCTTCTTGATCATCTGGCAGTATGCTCACTATTAACTACCAAGGATTTACTCGCTTCACCACGTCGCCAAGGATGAGCTCGGCGAAGCCATTCTGCCATGGTTTGACCTCGGCGACGGCACATACCTATTTGGGTTTGGCCTCTTCCTTCGGGGCTGCCTGGGAGTTTTGAGTTTTGAGGCGGATATCATGGATAACGGTTTTAACTTGCATTTGCTGTCCAGGAACCGGCCAAAAAACAAATATAATTCAGGATCTTCCCCATGCCGGGGGCTTCACTCATAGGGAACATAGCGAAAACTAAAACATAACCCCAAGCAACACTAAAGGGATGGCTGTGACTTGCGCCTTGGTAAATTTAATCAGTTATTCCGAAATCCTTTCTAAACCATAAACTAGTTCATGGACGTGACACTCGACGTCACTCAACCCTCCGAACCGCCTCATGTGGGGCATCTATGACTATATATATGTTTTAATTTTCAAGGAGTTGTTCCATGAACAAAATGACAACATGTTTTCCCTGCAGAGTTCTGAAATGAGGAAAACAAGCAAATGTCCACCAACCCCTGGCCAATGAGGAAGTCTGGGTAGCCCCTCCTGCACCAAAACTCACCATCATCCTCCGGATTCTTTGTCGTTTGCACGGGCCATGTCTGGGGCCTCAATGAACGAGATAAGAACACCCCGGCAGTCCAGTTCAACTGCTCTCCGGGCCATTGCGGAAGTGGAAAAGGTCCTGCCTGTAAGGGAAAACGGCCTTTCAAAGGGTCATGTTCCCACTTCCATGTTAGTTCCAAGGAGTGTATATTTCGCACAGCCGAAAAAACATCTGCACTGCACTTCAGATCGCCGGAAAAATGTTTAATATATATGGCAGGCGGGGTTCCCAGCAAACACCAGGTTCTAACCCAGGAGTGTTAACAAAGGTCACAGGGCATCAAAGGGTTCCCCTTTCTTCCTTTGTTCACCGGGTCGCCAAAGGCTCGATGGCCGTATAGCTACTGGCCAAGCCGAAGCCCTCCAAGCCCTCCGTGGTTCTCAAGCGCACCAAAATCTGGAGCCGGAGCCAGGCGCTTTCGGGCACGGGACGTTCTGAAAGCTCGATTCGCGGTGTCCAATAGAAAATGTAGATTCTCTTTTCGCCACCTGTGAGGTGAGAGTTGTTAGGTTTTATCAAAGCTCTTCTCCTCCTCCTTCTCCTTCTCTCCTCTTCTCCTTAACTACCGCACCTCAACTGCAAGTGCCAGATCCCGGGGGGCATGTATGCCGGATCTCAAATACTAGCTCCTGATCACAGCGGGGGCCTCAACCGCAAGTGCCAGATCGCAGTGGGCACTACCGGACCGCAACCACAAGCTTCAGATCGCAATGGACACTACCGGACCTCAACCGCAAGTGCCAGATCACAGTGGGCACTGCCGGACCTCAACACACAACACACAACATAGCCACAAACAAACACACAAACAAACAAACAAACACGCAACCACTACAAACACACAACCACAAACACAAACAGCCACAAACACACAATCACAAACACACAGCCACCAACACAATCACAAACACACAGCCACCAACACAATCACAAACACACAAGCTACCAACACATTCACAAACACACAGTCACAAAAACACAGCCGCAACCACAATCACAGTCACAACCACACAACCACGAACACACAACCGCAACACACAACCACTACACACAACCAAAAAACACCACCACAACACACAACCGCAACAAACACAACAAACACAACCACAAACACCACAAGCACAACCACAAACACACAGCCACAACACACAATCACAGCACACAACCACAACAAACAACCACAGCACACACAACCACAACACTCAAACACACACAGCGACAACAATATAATTACTTGTGTGTGTGGCATTTTGCATGGCAGGTGGTTACAGGGTAGCACTTTGGGATGCCAACTGGAGACCCTGGCGACACCCCGACGCGAACTCCCTAACACTAAATTAGCAATCCCAAACCGGAGGACCCACAAGCAAAATCGAAACCACAAAACTCACGACCATGGCAACATGCTCCTCACCATGGCATGAAATCAAATGATTGAAATGTCATGGTGGGGATCACTCGAAGTAAAGTAATTGATCTACTTTTTTTGAGCTGCTCTTGTAGGTCGTGTAGAGGGTTCCAAGTGGTGTTATTGTGGGTGTGGTGATAAGTGTTGCAACATCTGCTCCAGGGAGGTTCTGCAACCCTGAGAGAGCAAACAAAAATATGGTATTATAGTAACAACTTCTGCGTGGTTAATGTCAATGCGTTCTGAGATGTTCTGGGCAGTGTTTTGCCTCGCTGAGCATACCAGAAATCCCGCAACTGATTCTTCATCGAAGTCCATGCAGGACAAGGCCGTTCTTGACCTTAAAAAGGTGAGCCTCTGGATCCGAATCTTCACTTCCACATCCTTCCACACACTAGGTCAGCCTCATCACTCTCCCGTCAGCACGGTCCCCGGTCCTGCCTCGTTTCCCGGAGGCACCGGGAAGAAGGCGGTCCAATGGGGGCGAGCGATCTTGGGCCCTCGTAAGGCAAAGACTTGTAGGCTGGCAATACGTGCCATGGCGGGCCCTCAAGAAAAAGGAGTGCACCGCGTATTGAAAAACGGTTGGGAAGGAGTTGAAACGGGAAGAGGTGGTGGTTTCAGCGTGTGATTGTTGTCTTTTTCCCCGGTGCGTTTTGGGGAATTGGTTTCCTGGCATGGCTAAGGGCACCGCGTATTGAACATGTTGCATGCATCATGGAAGTCGCTCATCAATGCTGATTCACTCGTTCTTGGCCTTCGCTTTGGCTCAATTCACTGAGCACTACGGTCAGCAGCTTTCGGTGCAAAAATGTCTTCAGCTAGTAGACTTGGCAGCCAGTCCTTCACCCCGTCCCCATGATACTTCTACAAAGGATTGAATAATAGATCGCACTGCCCAATTCTTCCAAGTCACCCTCCACAAAAGGCCCCACTTTCCACAGGCCCCGAGACTGATCCTGACCCCAGAAAATGAAGAATCCCTTCTGAGAGCCCAATTTTCATACATCCTTTGCCTTTTTAGCAAAGGATAACTCAGCTGAAAAGAAGCACCCTAGAGGCCTTTCAAAGACCATTGCCGACCTTCCACCATCGCGACCTCTCACGACCGCCGACGCGGCAACTCAAACGCTGTCCGACATGGCAACGAGCGCTGTCCGACACGGCTGCCATTCGCCGCCTGCGTGGAGCCAATGGGTTGTCCCATTTGGATGGCCGGGCGGTTGCCCCCAGGGGGCACGTAACTGCCTTGGACCACCGTCGCTTGCACCACCTGAGTTAAAGGGTGGAGAAGGATGGCACCGAAGTGTTCTGCGATTCGGTGCGAAAGGCCTGGGAAAGCCTGCTGTGGTTGGATGTCCGGAAGAATTCTGATACAGCCAACGCTCTTTGTTTGACACAGTCAATGGTCAATGGATGCCTTATAAATCCAACATGGTCTTGGCCGGCCATATGTTGTGAAGCCATGAATTCGTCCAAATGCCAGCTTGATGGCCGTAGCATGCTGCTGATGAGGTTGGTACATATGCCCATCTTCGGATTAACATCTTTGGATCTTTCGGCATGCCCACCCATTACCTCTTATAGTTACACAATAGATTCAAATGGATGTAAGAATCAAAAACTCCTCATGCAAATTGTCAGACTTCGGAGGAACACTGATAGCAGCTATCGTTCTTAGGCTTGCTATATAAGTTGCGTTTCGAGTAAGAGACCTCAAACGAGCGTATCATGAAGAACAAGGAATATGACTTGCATCTTAGCTGTATTTTTGTTCCACCTCTGCTTTTAAATGACTGTACATCCAACCTCTGTGTCCCCTGCATGTTGACCGATGTCTACAATATCTGGCAGTATTGAATCGTGGAACACGTGCCCCTTCAACCCCAAAAACAGCAATTCTAATTTGTTATCTTAGTGGTTTCTCCTAAACTTCCTGAAGGCTGAAGGCTCAAGCTGCTGATCTTCCTCTTTTAGGGAATCTGAATGCTCAAACCAGCCGAATTCCACTGTTCCCACCAGCCCTTTACAAAGACTTTCCTCTCCTTCTCAGCCCAAGATGCATTGTTGGGCCGCTGGCAGTTGGCCATTCGAAGCGCCGCCCGAGAGCTTCTCGGGGAGCCCAGGAATGGCCGAAATCTTCACACTAAGTCAGAGCCCAAATCATGCCACAAACATCATCACATGGAAGTGGAGGTGTTCCTCCCTGTTCGTTAGAGGAGAATCCTCATCCAAGGGTCTTGGCGGCCATCCACTAGTGTGCAGCTAGAGCTTGGGGAACTCCCTCCCGTGGTCGCTCGCGACACTTGCAACCTCAAAAGCTTGAGTTTTCCTGTTCAACCTCAACTACACAATGTTGATGAAGGCTTGGAAACAGGCTCTGGTCGACATCGGTTTGCCAAGTGATCTGCAAATGAAGGGAACGAGATGACCAAGTCTCAAGAGTGACTCCCGGCCCAAGGATCCGAAGGATCCGTCTTGCGCTGTCGGACAGCGCCAGGCGTCTTAACGGGAACTCCCTCCGAACCAAACAATCCATTAAAACTGCCACGGCTTCTGCCTCAGCAATTGCTCTCTTTTTCGCAGCACCTCTCCATTCTGCCCACACCTTCTGTCAATGAACGTGGTCATTTCTGATAAACAGGTTAAAGTTAGACAATGCCTAACAAACTGACAAGCCTTCGCGCTGGGCATTTCAAAGGCTGCGGTTGGGCTGGTCTTTGCTTATTCTTCTTGTCTCTGCTTCTTCTTCTGCTTGTCTCTGCTTCTTTTCTGCTTCCTCTACTGTACTCTACTTCTTCTTCTTCTTCCTGTTTCTTTCTGCTTCTTTTCTGCTTCTTCTTCTTATTATTCTTCTTCTTTCATTCTGCTTCTTGCTCTTTCTGTTTCTTCCCTTTCCTGCTTCTTAATTAATTCAATCAATGCAAGATAAAGGCCATGAAGGCTCTAAGAAGTTGGGAGCAGCGCTGCAGTGGATGGCAACGTGAACCGACCGACGTTCTTCGCCCAGAACAGCGACCGACGCTCTCGCTTCCGTTGGGCTGGTCCTCCGCATCGAGCCGGTCGCCTGCATCACAGGGATCTTGGAGAATTGGGATGCGTCGCCTGAACTTGGACGCTACAACATATATAAAGATATATATATGCATGTTTTCAAGCATGGAAGTGGATCCAAGTGCCCGTGGAAAGAACCTGAAAATCCGAAGACCCAAAAGGGGGTGAACTCCACTTCCATAGTTTATTGTTCAGTGGGCAGTCCCTCCTACACCATACCTGTCAACATCACTTCCCAGATTCGGTGGCTTGAAATCCACAGATTCCGTCTGCATCTTCCTGGTTGAGTCGCTCCTCGGCATCGCATCTGGCGGATTGAGAATTCGACCCTTGACTCTAGACCATTCGCTGGGGTGGCCAATGGAGATGAACAGGGTGGGGTAGTCAATCGGTGCCCCCTGATGGCCCGGGAGGAGGCAACTTGAACATTCCCAGTCTCAGCTGCCTCTGGCAGCTGCAGCAGCTTTGGCAGCTTCGGCATCTGCCTTCTCCTGCAGCTTTTCTGGAAGCGGCACTATTCACCACTTGTGGAGGACAAGTGTCTCGTTCATTACTGAGGTGATCCATCTTCAAAAACTTCCAAGTCCACCATGGATGCTCCTTCGGGAGGACATGGAGGAAATGAGACACTCGTAGGCCAACCAGGGTGCAAGGGTTTTCACCCACCATTTGGACACCCGCAGCAAAACGGTCTGATTCCCTCCTCATGTTCCAAGTCTGACTGGTGCTTAGCAGGGAATAAGGCAATGAGCCCCCAATAGAGATTCTATTGGACCCAGCCACCCTCATTCCCTGCTAAGCACCAGTCAGAAGTTGATGACCCCATTCTGAGAATGCCATCCCCTTCACCACTTCGTTTCGTCCTTCTTCTTGGCGGCCACCCACTCGGCTTGCTTCATCGCGTCCTGTTTTCAGTTCAAGTGCGCATGGAGTGCGCCTTCGAAGGTTCAATACTCTCTTGGATTTACTGTCCAGGAACGGGAACTACTTCCTCAGAAGGGGGTTCACTCACAGAAGCCTTGAGTAAAACCAGGCTCTATGCTACCCTGGGCTTCTGGCAAGCGATCGACAATAATAGAATGTTTTAAAAGGCTCACCCCCCACCCCCCACCCAAAAAAAAGAACCGAAAGCATCTCTGGAAAAGGCAGAATTTCCCAACCGTTCCAGTTGGCTACAACACTGCCCAGTGGTCGAAGCGCAGAAAAGCCTCGTAGCCTGCAGGTGCAATCGCCAGTCCTCACGAACCCACTCAGGCACGTTGGTCAGAACCTGACATGGCAGCCGAGTCGCTGTCAGTGGCTTTTACCTGGTTCTTGAAACAGAACTTGTCACTGGAAGGTCAAAGCCGGTCTTGTTTCGATGGAAAAAGCACCAGATGGACGGGTTGCCGCGGCTTCCCCCACCAGGCCACCCACGAGCACCGTCCCAACCTTGTTGGCCAGCAAGCCTTTCCTTGGATTTGCTGATCAGGGATTCTTGGAGAAACAAACACTCGATTAAAGCTTGAGTCTCAATAGATTCCGTAGGAGGGGCCTGATCGAAGCTTGAGAGGTTCCAATATGTCTCAACAGATTCTGAAAAAGGGGGGCTTTCCAAAATGTGCACAAAGTGATAACAAATAAAACCGCCTGCTCGGCAAAAATCAAGTGTCTGGTCCGCCAATCTTTGGTAGCGCGCCAGCTTTCGTTGGGCCACCACCAGCCTCATTTGGCCGCCACGTGTGTAAGAACACTCATGCTCAAATCATGCTAAGAAGAGATTTTATGTTGGTTGCTTCATGTTGCTTCTATGCCTTGTACCTCCAAAACCCCGGTTTTCTGCATTTTCACAAACCCTCTCAATAAGGCGGCATTCTGTGGAAACCCTGTATCAAACGTCACCTCGAAGATCTGGCACAGTGAAGACCCCGAAAACGACTCAAACTCAGCCGAAGAGCCTTAAAACTCCGCAGCCTGCTTCCACTGAAACCGAAACAACCCCCTGGCCCGCAGCCTGCTTCCACTGAAACGGAAACAACCCCCTGGCCCTCAGCCTGCTTCCACTGAAACCAAAACAAAGCTCTGGATCAGCAGCTGCAGGACATGTCAGGATGCACCAACAACCTATACTGATACTATGTCATGTATGTACACAGATATAATTCGTACACTGTATACAATGATACAAAATGAGGCAACGTGGGTATTTCCTTCCAGTTTCATTGTTATCTAGACTGTTGATGAATCAATCCCCCCGTTTGAAGAGCTGTTGCAATCCATATCTGGGTGTGTGATTCATATTGATTCATCCCCCGTCTAGATTGAACTGTCCGCTGGAACCCAGCTGAAATCAAGTTCCACTTTCGCTGAACTTTGCTCGACATGGGATCCCCGTCTCGTTCGTTCTATCGTTCGGCACCTCCGTGGAACTGGGAGGTGGGTCAAGATCCTGGCCCCTGCTGGTCAGGTGGATGTTTTTTCGTTTCAGTGAATCCACTGGCATGGGGAACATGTGGACACACTTTTTCCCAGGTTCCTGGGAGACTCCAAGGAAATGGTGTCTGTTCCAACTCGGGCTTCGAGGCGTTTGGGGGAGCACCATTCATGCCTGCGAAGGACCCAAGGCTTTTCCACCACGTGCTCGGTAATGCTACTGGGGGAGGGGCAGGGTATCTACCACACGGGCTGATGTGACCAAGCACGGCCCATTATGGAACACTTGATAGAAACAACAAACCGAAAAAGGTTTTACACTCCACCTCAGGGGAGCCACTACTGCCCAAGCCTTCCCGGGGCGTGGCTGTCGTGGTTGTTACAACTTCGATGATGCGGATTTGGGCACCGCCATGGCCTGGGGACGCACACATGGTCCAATGATGTCCCATGTTCCACTCGGAGAACACCATTCACTTTGCGGAGGAGCTGTGGACCACACAGGCAGTGGAGGGATCTTGCTTCGGTTCAAGACTCTTCGCAGTTCATACACCTGCTGCAACCTTCCTGGCATGGAACTTGACGGATAGCCCCCTAAGAGGCCGTGCTGAGTACAGGGAGTACTTGTGTGAGATCTGCGATGGAGCAAGAGTGGAGGGTTTGGATGCGACTAGTCTGTTCAAATGGCTTCTAGTCATTTTTCGTTACCGCTCCAGTGCAGACTTGACGGACAGAAGCAAAGCCTCAACCAATGGACTTCAGCCACAGGCCATTTTGTTAGTCAGCTCCGAGCACTGATGAAAATCACCAGTTGCTTATGAAGCATTTTGCACTGTACCAGTAGCTCTTTTCCTGCGCTGGGAGAGGCCCTTCCGGTTTGTGAATCGCCATCGATCAAAGGTCTACAGCCTGTCTCCTGGAAGCCTCGCAACAGTAGATGGTCAAAGGCCATTCCTTTAGCTCAGCGGTGCATCATTTCTCAATGATCTCGGGTACAATCAAGTGCGGAGCATGTTGCATTTGCCAAGCCTCGTGCATGCTCAACTCTGTACCCGTCAGGGGCGGTTTTTTCGCGCGTGAAAAACCCGCAAGGCCGTGCATCAACCGCAGGCCGGGGTTTCATAAATCAAGAGTCTTACCCAGGAAGCAAGGATCACCTGCCCAACCGCACTTTGGAGGATTGTGGAATCCCCCACTATAATATCCCCTTCTTTTGAATCCAGGTGTCTCCTTCTGGTTTGCCGCCAAGCGTAGCTCCGTCATGGCGTCCTAGGCGAGAAGCATCGACGCAACCGACGGGGCGCGGCGCGAGGTCTGCGAGAAGCATCCACTGGGAAGATCCGGGGGAAGTCTCATTCCTAGAAACGGTTTTAGGCTTAGGGAACATCTCGAGGAAAACCCATAGTTTTTGGAGTGAAAGCCATGGTTTTCCCGGGGATTTTCCCTTAAGCCAATCCATTGACTCATGTTCCAAGGACAGCGGAGAGTGTTGTGCCAAGAACTGGTCACCCCTCACCCGAAGATTAGGAACACCGACACGACTGAGCTAGTCTGGTGTAGATGTATGACCTTATTCTGGAGCACTATAGAGTATAATTAATTCAAATGACATTTAACAACACGAAGAATTTGAGCCAGTCAGGCCTAGAGCTGAGCATACAAAAGCTGTTGTACCTGTTGTACCTTGTTCTCTCTTCTTCAAAGCCCCACATCCAGGTGCCCGGCAACCTCCTCCGTCGGCCGAGCCAACCTAGAAGCCACTGCCTGGCGGTGTGGGCTTTGAGATCAAGCAGCCCGCCCTACTCCACCCTCGGGCTTGCGCGCGCAGGCGCCTCGGAACTTCGCTCCAGCCGGGACTTGGAGACCTTCTCGGCCTCTGCGTTGAGTCCAGATGGTGAACTCCACAGCTGGGAGTCCGGGAAGACGAGGAATCCGGCGATCCCGAGTGGATGGCAATTCCCCCAAAAGACTATGGTCCGAAGATCGGTGGTGAACTCCACTTCCATGTCAGCATGAGTTATCCTTGAGCTTGGCTGTGTCCCGTTACAGTACCAGTAACTTGAACCGTGGATGATGATGGTTAGTAAAGCTTAGTAAAGGCCTTTCTTTGTTAATGAACTATTATATAATTGTAATATTAACATCTGTTTACCAACGGTTGCTGGTCATGGGATACACCCTCGTTTGAGCACTGTTTGTCCATCAGCCGATCAGCAGTGGTGGTAAGCCCGTGTGAATAAATGGTCGATGTCCACGGTTACTCATTGCTTTATGCCTTCTGGATGGTAAGTCTGGATGTCCAAATGTCCAGAATGCTTTTGACATACAAATCCTAAGTTGCATGCAATTGGCAATCCTCTTACTTTCCGTCATGTGCCGTCTGCAGTGCAGCTGCTCATTGTCCCTACCAAGCTAATTGAATTGTCTACAAGGTCATTCAAAACAAAAATGGCAACATGAAGACGGGATACATGCAACTTTTCCAAATAGCACATCGATTCACATGGGGAATAAGCCTCATGACCCGGAAGTGTCGCACCCTCTGTTTGTCAAGGAAGTCGTGGTCTTCCCATCCATTCACTTCCGCATCGCAGAAAAAAAACAAGGCCTTGCGCTGGTGACCGAGGACGAGACACAGATCCTCCGTCCCCAAATCGCCTCTCTTTTGAACGCATCACATGGGAAGTGGTTTCACCATCCTCGTAGAGAAGAACCATCTAACTGAAAATCAATCGAAGGGTCCATCCACTCGGGCGCAATTCGGTCGGAAGAACGGACGACGCCACCCGCGAAAGGGTTCTGCAGGTCGGTCGGTGCAGCAGACCCCATCCGACCCCTCAATGCCCTCATCCGACCTCTCCAGCTTGACGCTTCTTCTCTAAGAGCTTCAATCGCTCCTGCCACCGGGCGAGGAGCGAGGAGAGAGGAGTGGAGCGGTGTCGCGAAACGCTGCGAGGCTAGAGAGGCTGGAAGGAGGCCAAATAGTATACACCTACACTGACCTACACTAAGGATTCTAAACTATAGAATGCCAGGTGCACCATGTATTAACAAATAGTTTTGGAAGTCTATAGGGACAGCGATTGCACATCAGGTAGTAACGTCCGTGTTTTTGCACCAGCGCATCAGACATCCAGCAAATTGACACTTACATACCAGTTCCCATCGAGTGGACAAATGATGCCTTTCTCCATTGTAGGTCTGGTCTCTGATTGTCCATGGGTCGTGGTCGGTTTCTGACACCGCGCGTCACCGCGCGTCGTCGGTCTGCTCATGCACGTCCTCTTCTCGCACGAGCCAGTCTGGGTATTGAGTCCTCAGCTGGTTATCTTGGAGGGCGCTGCTCCCAGGAGGTCTTGGAAGAAACATTCCCCGGAAGTGATTCACCCACACAGAACTATCCCTAAGCAAAACCACGAATCCTTCAAGGGACAGGGACATTCCTTGGTGCGGAAGTGGAGTGAACACATGTGAACATCCCCTGCTTGGTCTTCGGATTTCATGGTTTTTCAGGGGTGTCCAAGCTGGCCATGCCATACGCCGTGCCATCCATTTCGATGTGAGTTCCAGGCATTTGGGCTCCCACATCCAGTTCAATCCAAGTTGCCCAGGAACATGCTGCTCAGTGGACCCATCGCTGCGAACATGAAGTACCTGATGTCCTCTGCACACCAGAACGGCGAAGCTGGGTTTGGTCATGGAGTGGGTTTGGTCCGTATCGGGGGTAACCAGTAACCGTTGTTTTTCCAGATTTGGTTGTACAATTTGGGGACAACTATAGCCATTAGATGCCAATGGGCCATCTACGGCTTCTAGAACCCTAGGGCAAGGGCAACACTGGACCATCCAAATCCATCCACCCTAGTCCCACCCTTCTGAGAGAAGGTACGACTGGAACTCTGTTATAGGGGAATTTCTAGCCCCCTTTCGCCAGCGGAAAGCTTCAACTGTTTGCGGAACTTGCAGGGCTGACCTGCTTTCACCAGCTCGTCCGCAATGACTTGGCGGTTGTCCTTGGCGTTTTGGGGCACAGCGGACCAGCTAGTGCAAGCTGCTGGTGCTGGTCCAGACCGTGTGAATGTCCCAGCGGACCAGCTAGTTAACTCATCAGGGTCACAAAAAATGCTGGTAAGATCTAACTGCTAAAAAACATACACATGTATACGCATACCCCCAGCTGGGGGTGTTTTCATGTGTTAACTGATGTTTTAGAAGTCCATGGACCAAAATGCACCACCTCACTAAGGATGTCGCACCGTCGTCTCCCCGCTTTTTTCTTCGTACCGTCGGCTCTTTGGTGCGAGTGAGAAAACCGCGGGGACGTCTCTAGGGCTCCTGACCTCATTCCAAAGCTCCTGACCTCAAGTTCAAGGCCGAAGCTTCCGGGGAGTGTATAATAAACTTTCAAGAAACGACTGGGCTCCGGGCTTCCCAGAAATGCCGTGCGCTTCCTGCCGCTCGACCCAAGACATGCATTCCAGGACGCTCGAAAACCACATCTCTCAACTTCCGAAACCACATGATGACCATGAACACATTGGTTTGGAGTCCATTGAGTCCATGAGCACATTTCGTGGTCATTTCTTTGCCGAATCATGGACCAAACGTGCATCCCCAAAGGCGGCAGGCCACATCTTCTAAGAATTCTTACTCTCAGGACCAGCAGCACGTTCTTAGCGTTTCTGGCCCGTACCACCCCAGTTCTTCGCCTCTTGGCCTGCCATGCGAGTTCCACCAAGGTGTGTTGGCCTTCATCACTCCTCGCGTGGTCCGCGTGGTCGTTGGCACGTTGTGTGTGCCAACATGGAGGCCATTGGAGGAATGGAGGCCATGTAGGAGCGCGGTTTGGGGGGAAGCGTGAGACCAGCTTTCTCACCCTGAAGCTTTTTTTGGGAGGATCCTGATTGCTCGAGGACACCCCAACATATGCTAACATAGGATGACAACCTGGAAGCCCAAACCACCGGAAACGATGTTTCCCCAGTCTCAGCCACGTAAGCTATGTAAAGGATCAATGTATTTTAAACGTAAACGTTGCCACTCCGTTAGAACAAATCAATTTGGATCTTTGGTCTCACGGTCTCATTTGTCTCATCTTTCATCTCTCAGGTGTCTCATCTTTGGTCTCTCTTTGTTTATAAACATGGTCTTTGAACGTCCTTTATAGACTTTGAATGTCCTTTAAACACGGGGCTGCCAGATTTTGAACTCTAGGTCTAAGATAGACTCTTCCTGATGAAGAGGTTTTTCAATTCAAATGGGAGGAGCTTATAAATCAAAAGCCTACATTTTCATACATCTTCCGCCTCTCTTCATGGCTCCGGCAGCTCAACCCCGGATCTCTCCCCGACCAAGCACCGCACGCGTCGCCGAGTCGGTGGTCTCCTGATGTGGGCCAGGGTGCCATAGGCGCTTTCACGTCCAATGGGCATGGATTTGAAGAAGATCCCCCTGGCACGACCTCGGCAAAGAATTGGTGCGGCGCTCAAGCGCCTCTATCACGTAGGTATAGGCCCAGCCTCTCAAAAAAAAAAACGGGGGGAAGAGAGGAACGGAGCATGAACTTATCATAACTTATCAAAACCAATGGGTCACGGTCTTAAGCTTGCTTGAGCCGCCTGAGTCGGGGGTGATTCGGAGCACCAGCACGCGACGACTCGCCGACTCTCCGACTCGTCAACTGAAGGTCACGCGACTCGTGCCAAGCTGGAAGGTCGCACCACCTGGGACCTGAATGATCTATATATCCCAAACACTCCATGTATGCCATATATGCCTACATTGGGGTGGTTTGGGGGGTCAATGTAGGCATATAAGGCATACATGGAGTGTCTGGGTATAGACCCCCAAATAGATAGAAAAGCAGATCCCCACTCAAAATGTATTGGACACCGTGCCGTGCCACTATCTATTTGATGGTCCTCGCTCTATGCTCTATAAAATAGAGTTGTCACCCAACCTATGACTTCCCCGGTTTTCATGTCTTTTTCTGCCAGATGTGACAAACTCTTCGACCACAGGTAGCGTCGAGATCATCAAAAAGTACAAATCATTATGCTGCTGCAAGATGTTGCAAGCTGTAGGCCCTTGGGCCCTTGGGTAGTACAGGACACTCATGCCATACTACAGTCGTCCTATTCGCTCTCTGAAACCTAAACATGGAAGTTCACCCCTGTTCATGGCAAGACGTATGTGGACATGTGACATGTGACACATGATCTTCCATGTGATGTGTTCGTCCAGATGTTTCATAATGCACCGATGGTCTTCACCGAAGCCTTCACCACCAACAGAGGTTACCCTATAGACTATCCCATAGGTACCCCAGGTGACGGGTCCTATAAGGTCACTTCACCGAAGCCTTCATCTTTCCCAAGGCAAAGTGGCATTGCCCACGCAGGGCTGACAGGCTGAAGCGCTGGTGTCGCGCATGGAATTCGCCCCTGGTGTCGCAGCGCAGGGGATGAACGGTCGCGCTGGGATGTGGGATGCGCAAGTCGGTGGGGATGAACATCGGCACCCATCACCTTCCTCCTCTAACCGGCTGCAACATTGATCTTTCAGCATTTTCATCCCAACACATTGGAGAAAACATATTTTCCTACGAACACACGTCACAAACAATTGGCTAATAACTTAACTTAGTTCACTTACATCTTGGTTTGGACATGTTTGGACTGTTTCTGCTCTCCATCCGCCGTATCCATCGGAAAGAAACCGCCGTCCCGTCTGTCATCGGCCTGAAGTCGGTGGGCCGAAGGTCGTAGAGAACCCTGGCGGAACAGTGCTTGTGCGGAACTCGCATGGCGCTGCGTGTCACATGGGAATTTCGCATGGCGAAACCATGTAGGATGAACTGACCGTACCCGGCGGTCAGTTGGGGATCGAACTGACTCAGAGTCTTGCAGCACCCAAATGAAGGGAAAATCGCTTTTAAAAAAATGATGCTGGCTCCAATGGAGTGGCGTCGGGTGTCAAACGTATTCAACAGTTGGCTCATCGTTATCCGGTTTTATATAATCTGTTGTTGTCTTTTTCTCATCAAGCTTTGGCAAACAAAAATGCGTTCCATATGCGTTCCATGACATGTACTGTATCAATTTTATATTTGCAATTATTTATATAAAATGAAGACTCTTGATGAATAAACCTACCCATATGAAGAGGCTTTTCATGGTTTTTCAATTCAAATGGGCGGTCAATTAATCAAGAGCCTACATGTTGAATATATATATATACTATAAGATATATATATAATATATATAGTAGGCATCTTCTATCACCCATGGATCGATCGTGAGTTGTCCGGCATGTTTCTCAATGCAAATGGCTTTCCGGCCTCACTGAATGGCACTGGAGCATCTCAAAGAAGTCCTCACCGGCGCTCGCGGTGAATCCATGCGGTGAATCCAGCATGGTTCCCAACACACACACACACAAGAAAAACAGGGATTTGCTGAAGTCGCCTGAAGTCTGTAAACCTGATATATATATATATATATTATGTACACCTGGACCATCCTGTCTGGGTGTCCTGGCTGGAGATCCCGGATAGTAGTGTAGAGTAGCCCATTGGACAGCAATTGGATGGTCCTGGTATGCGTTATTCTGATTTGGTTGTTGTTTTGAGACTGAGGTATATATGAGGTATATAGTATGATGAAAAACAAATGCAGCATCTTGAGGCGACGTGCAGTAGACTTTAGACCTGGTGCACGGATCATGTGATGCATTGATGCATCATACAGCCTCTTGTTGAAACAGCATGATTCAAGAACTGACTGGCGCTTAGTAAGGAATCAGGAAATGATCCTAAGGTAACCTATCTATAGAGGAGGGGTCATTCCCTCATTCCCTGCGAGTCGCAGACTTTGGCCTTCTGAACGCCGAAAAAGGTTGGTGGGCTCCTCTCTTGGCAAATGCCCCATTGAAAATTCATCAAGGGTGAACATTGAAGCTGTATAGCAGGTGTGAACCACTTCATCACTGTGGGTGCGATGCGGATGTTTAAGCAAACCTTGTTTACGTCCTTTCTTCGCCACTTCCGAAGAAGGTGTTCTCTGCTTTGGAGACTCCTTGCTCGACTGGCCAGACGGAACTTCATCCGTCAGCCCTTCAAATTGGCCAGCTTTTCCACGGCCGCCACCAATCGGGAGAAATCTTGTCGAAATCCATCCAAGCTCTCCCTCAAACCACTCATTTCCTTGGACTTAAGTTTTCCAGGAACCGGACAAAAAGCCAAAACATCTTCCAGACTAAAACTGGAGGATTCCAGGACACCAGGAGAACACATCTAACATCATCTAACCAAATCCATCCAGCTCCGCCCGAAAAGCACCTGCAAGCAACTGCCGGGTGTCTTGACGCATGCCCGCGACGTTCTCCGCGATGCTCTGAAGCTGCAGGGTCTGCAGGGTCTGCGAGGTCTGCGAGGTCTGCGAGCCTCGACCGGGTCGTGGAGAGTGCTCCTGGCCTCGGGTTTGGCTGATTCGGACGGAGAACACATCCAAACCACTTCCCGTCGCCGTGACTCGCTGTGCGCAGGGAACTTGCTGCGATTAGCCTTGATTCACAGTACTAATATGGCTGGCAAAACTCGAAACATATTGCCCAGAAGGGGATTTACGAAAACAACCAATTCCCTAAGCAAAACCAGGTTTGGCATAAAAACCATTCCCCATGCCAGGGGGTTGACCCAGTTCGGGAAATCCAAGAGCTCACCTGATCAGCCAAAACCAGGTGACCGCGGTCCATGCCTTCCTCACCACTGGGCTCTAGATGCTTGGGTGCCGTCGTAGGGCTCATGGGTTCCTCCGCCAAACTCTCGGACCTGGGACGGTTGCCAACGTGAACCAGAAACTTCTCCAGGTTTCAAAAGGTGCCCTAGAAGTCCAGTTCGGTCCTATATTTTGACTGGCTGGAGTAAAGGATGTTCCCAGACTCAGGTCCCCGTTCGTCAAACCATTCTTTTTAGAGTCGACTTGGACTCCCAGGGGGTGGGTCAGAACCGATCTAGTTCGACTATCCCAGGTGTTCCGGGTACCCCACGTGGATGGGTCCTCGTGACCTGGTCACTTAACCTACCTCTCTTGGAGGTTTCAAGCATCTTCACGAACCTGAGTGACACAAAATGGCTGAGTTGAAATTGGGGGATTCACTCAGGAACCTCAAGAGCCAGGGAAACATCAACCAAAAGTCCACCCGGAAAAAAAAGCACTAAAACCACATGCTACACACACAAAACATAACACACACACAAATTGAACCACACAACATTGAATTGCACAAAACAAAAACAACACACACACACAACACCCGGAAGAAGCCCGGGTGACCGATGGAAGAGCTCCCTCTTCGGGCGTCCGAACTCGCCGGCCGCGGAAGGCGCTTCTAACACAGCGTGGAGCTCCGGAGGAGCGGCTGGGGCCGCACGCCAGAGAGCGAGACCCGAGAGTCTCAAGGATGCCTGAGCGGGCAGGTTGGGGGCAGCAGGTGACCAGGTTGGAGGCCAGGAGGCCTCCATTTGCAGCAGCGCTTCTCTTGGAGTCAAATGGGATGAATATGTATGAAAGCACCTATTGACGGACAATGAAGAACACCTCAACAAAAACAGCATTCTTTGAAGCAAACATCGGATGCTTGTGGCAAAAGGCTCAGAGTTGCAGCTCCATGCCACATGGATTGGCTCTCGGTACCCATGATACCCTCACTGGCCCATTGGTGAGGAGGTGCCAAACGAGAAAACTGCACCTCGCTGCTGTTGAAAGAGCCTGGGATTGGATTTGCTGATTCGGAAGCCGGGAAAAATGGAACATATGCGCCAGAAAGTGAATCACCCACAGGGAAAATAACAACATATACAAACATCACCTGATCCGCAACACCATGGAGCCAAAGACCACCAATGCCTTGCCACCAGTCTCCGCCACGGCCAGCAGCTCTCCAGCCGGACGCTCGACTCCACACTGGAGCCGCAAGGTGTCGCGGGCCTCGGTCAATGAGCATCGGATGGGCAAAAGGTAGCGCTGGCAAGGCAAGACCTGCAAGCCAGTGTCAAGCTCGGGATTCTGCCAAGCACTCACAAAAGGTGGCACTGATTGCGAGCCCGGTCTTTCAGAAGGCCCATCTTGGGGATTTTCCACCACTTGAACCAAGGGCATGGGGGAAGCATTCAACCCCTGCCCTGGCAGCATCAAGCAGGGCTCCGGCAATGGATCGACACACTGATCGATACGGCACAGAAAGACATTGGAGAAGGCTGTTTGGATCTCAACGCACTCGCCTGAACAAAGGAGATGCCGCACCAAGGGCACTTGTTGGGCATCTTCAAAAGCAAAACATGAGAGTTGCCCTTTGCCACCGACCAGGAGCTGAGTACCGTCATTGGACCAAGACAGGCATCGACATGGAAAACTGATGCTCACAGAATGTAGCTGCTCCAAAGAAACCTCACCCATTTCTGATGTCTCAGTTGGCTTAACTTTGACCAACACGAGGAGCACCTTTTCCGCCACCAACACTGACAGAAGGTCAATTTGTTCCCCACTCTTGCAGAAAGGAGGCAACGTAGGGCCTGCCCAACAAATCGCTTTTGAAGTCTTCTCTGCATCGCTGGGCAGCACATCACCCAAGCGGCATGCTGCTACAGCTGCTAGTTCGGTCTCATCCGAGATGGCGGGCAGCTGCCAAACGGCCACCGAACCACGGCCATTGATCACTTCCAGGGATGCAAATACTCGCCGGCGAGGAGAAAGAAGCAGCTGACGCGGATTAGACAAGGCACCATTCGTACACAAACAGCATGAACGACATAGGGTGGTCGTCCCGGTGTCCACGTAGCGGCACAAGAACAGCTTTTTGTCCTTGCAGTCGAAGAGTAAAAACTCAGGAGTGCATGGGTCCCCTGACAGGGCCGCGCTCGCGAGCAGGTTGCAATAAGGGCGATGCGCGTAGCAACCCCATGTGGGTAGCTCTTCAGAAGCACTCCCGGACATTCGGTCGGGTTGCTCACACAATCTCGAGTGCTTGAGCCAATCATTTTCGGAGTGACAACTTTTCAGTGGCCGAAGCCGGCTTTTCATGTAGAAAAGTCTCAGCGTGGCGAAACATTGCACAACAAACAACTCTAACCGCCCTGGTCGTTCAATGCCCAGTCCCACGACACTGTCGGGGACTGCCAGGACGCACCCCACCGCCCCAGACAGACCGCTGACCTGGCACCCACCACCCCGGAAGCCGTTTCTCAGTCCTATGGCCCTAAACAGGTTGTCCAGCGTCCAGGGCCAGCGTCCCGTGCTCCCCAGCGGTCGAGGCGTCTCGACCCGCGGTCGAGACGTCAACCCGAGAGACTCGGGGGTCCTTCTCCAGCAGATCACCATGTCCCACCTGGGAGTGGCAAAAGCACGGCGTTACAGCCAGGCTTTTCTACAAGATGCAGGTGTCTAGAAACAATCATTCTATATAGATATTTTTCCCTTTATATAGAGTAATATAGAGTAATTAATTGAAGGCCTCCAAATGCAGGTATTGGAAGACCATGTCAAAGTAATGAATCACCTGAGTAGAGTGAACACATGTTCAAGCGAAAAGTCGGGTTCCCTAAGAAGTAGCACTTTGGTCATCTGATGTGATCTGTAGCGTAAATATACCAGCACCCTCAAGGGGTGGTTAATGGACACCCCTTAAAAGCTAAGGGGCTATAAATAGACACCCCTTGGAGGGTCCTGGTAGCAGAATCATGCAGCATAGCAATATGTTTTTGGTCTGTGCCAGTTGTTCGATGTCATCCCCTCGGCCGTGCATTCGGTCCGCGAAAGGGATGTGTTGAGTGTCAGATCTTCAAAACGACTAGAGAACCTAGGAGGGCAGGTGTTCAATTTATAAATAGTAGGCCAAGCAGCAGAGTAAAGAGTGGTGGGATCCATCTTCCTCATGTCGACATGCGCCGGTGGGTTTAGGGTTAGACCGGGTCCATTCATGGTCCTTCAAGAACTCATCCATGAAGAGATCTCGCAGGAGATAGAAAGGCCAAAATTGGCGACAATGCCCAAAACAAAAAAAGTTGCTCATTGTTTCACAACATATTTTTTGGTTCAGTTTTACCGACAGGACTCTCCAACCTGGCGACTTCCACCCAGGCCGGGTTCCCGTCGCCCACTGAATCCCGAAATACCATGGTTTTACTAAGGAATGTGCATTATTCACATTCCCAGACGCTCCATGAAACTGCCATATATGCCGCCCCATTGACCCCTGAAACCACCCCAACGTAGCATAATAATGTAGCCATATATGGCAGTCCCATGAAGCGTCTGGGATTAGAAAACCAGGTCAACCATTCTAATATTTGCATTGGAAGGCTTAGGGTTTGGTGTTTGGATGTGCTGCTCCGGAAAATGACACCATCCGTCGTTTCAGCGGAGTTTCATCCAAAAGGAGCATGAAAAAAGAACCCGATCCGCTCAACCAGGTCTGTTGAGCCTGGTCGAATGCTTCCAAGAGAGGTAGCCAGGTCGTCACTAGGACCCGGTAGCTAGGTACTGGGCTACCCGGAAGGCCTGGGATAGTCGAACAGTCGGTTCTTCTGACCCACCTCTGTTGCTTGGCAAAGGAACATTCAACACCTTAGAGGTCTCCCCAACCTGTTTCCCGGAGCGGTGGAACCAATTCACCGTTCGCAAACCATTCATGACGCCTTGAAGAGGACATTTACCCGAGCCTTCAAAGGCTGGTGCTGTAGTGTAAAAATCCTTAGTAAAACAATGGTTCTTTGGTAAAGACCATTAAAACAATTGTTGTTTGAATCCTAGGGTTTAGCTTCTTCGAAGAACCAGGATGAACCAGTGAACCAGCACCGCTGGGCATGTTCCGCGCATGCGGAATTCCCCAAAAAAACACGATTCCACCAATTCCTACACCTTCAGCAGTGAGGCTTCAGCAAACGTGAGCTGAGTAGCCAAACACAAGCCAAATCTCATCTGCAGCTAGGAATCTCCAGGGACAAATGCTCCCGAGAAAACGGCGAATGCATCAAATCCCCTTGGCCGTTCCATTGTTCCGCGTCGTCCAAGGTAAACCTCGGCGTGGTAGCAAGCAACACGTGTCCTCCCCTATTTTCTGGGTATAAGTCCCCCACAATAAACACCTCCCCCCACAACGAACAGTTTGACCATGTTTCACCATTGTCTTGAGGATCTTTCCCCAGCACCACCCTGTTTGCGTGGGGCCCCTGGACTCCCCTGACTGTCTATTGCACATCTAATCACCACCCAAAGTGGGTAGTGCTGGTCATTGCTTTTCGAAGGCCCAGGTGAGTCGCGCGCTCTCCCTGGTGGGCCGACGATGGATCACGACCTCAGCCCAGCCTCGCCATTCGCCTCGCACGACCCTTTTCTTAGAGTAATGTTGGGACTGGTATGTTGACCTACATTGAGATGGTTTGAGGGGTGAATGTAGGCGTATATGCATATGATATTCCATAGATGGATGGTTTGGGAATGGTTCACCTGGGATTTTGGAGTCTAAATGCCTTAGAGAGGAAGAATGGGTTGTTCGGGATGGCTAGCTTAGCGGCTAGCTATTAAATCCATGTTCTGGGCCAGGAATCCTGAGAACAAAATCGTTCAGCAGCCGAATGCATCTTTTCGAGTAAGAACCCCAGGGGGGTAACATACATACCTTGTTTTCGGAGGTTAGTAGGTATCTAGCAGGCATCCCCTGCCTCCCCCCCAACTAGGTATGTATGTATGTATGTATGGTCCAAAGGTACATACCTCAAAATCAGGGGTATGTATGTTTCTGGGGAACATACATACCTAGAAAATGAGAGGTATGTATGGTATGTATGTATGTTTGGGGAAACATACATACCGAGACAAGAAGAGGTATGTATGTATGTATGTATGCATGGTCCAAAGGTACATACCCTCAAAGCATACCCAGTATGTATGTATGTCCGGGGAAACATACATACCTAGAAAGTGACAGGAATGTCTGGTATGTATGTATGTCTGGGGAAACATACATACCTAGACAAGAAGAGGTATGTATGTATGTATGTCTGTATGCATGGTCCAAACGTACATACATCAAAAGCACGGGTATGTATGTTTCTGGGAGACATAGAAGAGTCATACATACCCAGTATGTATGTATGTCCGGGGAAACATACATACCTAGAAAATTAGAGGTATGTATGGTATGTATGTATGTTTGGGGAAGCATGCATACCTAGAAAAGAAGAGGTATGTATGTATGTATGCATGGTCCAAACGTACATACCTCAAAAGCACGGGTATGTTCGTTTCTCGGATACATAGAAGAGTCGTACATACCCAGTATGTATGCATGTCCGGCGGGGAAACATACATACCTAGAAAATAAGAGGTATGTATGGTATGTATGGATGTCTGGGGAAAGATACATACCTAGAAAAGAAGAGGCATGTATGTATGTATGTATGTATGTATGTATGTATTGTCCGAACGTACAGACCTCAAAAGCACGGGTATGAGTGTTCCTCGGAGACATAGCATCAGGTAAAAAGCGAGGTCTGTGTGTTTCGCAGGGCTCCCAGTTTGAGGTATGTATGTTTCCCAGGAAGATACATACGCATGAGTGTCTCGGTATGCATGTTTCCCACAAACATACATACTCATTATTATCCAGGTATGTCTGTGTCCCACAAACATATATACCTAGGACTTGGAGGTATGTACGTGGTCTGAGAAACATACATACCCGTGAGATTGAAATATGTATGGTTCGCAGAAACATACCTACCCACAATATTCCGGTATGTATGTTTCCCATGCAGATACAGACCGTTAGTTGTTTAATTTATATCCGTTCCCAGAAACACACACCGAGGAGGTATGGGTATGTCGGCCAAACAGAGATTACCTTCAAGTATGTATTTTCCCTGCAACAATCATGCCCTTGACCTTGAAGGCAGTATAAGGAGGAAGAGAGATATGTGGCATTCTCGGGATGTGCGTATACATGAACGTGGACTGTCTCACACAATGAAGCATGCTCCTCTCCGTGACCTCCCCCCCCCAAGGCAGGTATGTATGTACGTATGTATGTATGCATGCGTGCGTGTATGTCTGTGAGGGCCCGTGACCATGGAGGGGGCATTGAAGTATGTCTGTATGAATGGATGTAAGTCTCATGGTGTTTGGCGCATGGGTATTAGACGTGTGTATGACGTAATGTATGTATGTGTGGGGAAACAGACATCGCTAGAAAATGACAGGTATGTATGTCTGTTATTGGTATGTATGTATGTCTGGGGAAACATACATACCTAGAAAATGATAGGTGTGTATGGTATGTATGTCTGGCGAAACATACCCGGCCCTGCCCAGACCGAGGCGTCGCATCATTCGAGGCAGGGGTAGTAATAGGTTATCAGACATACGTTGCACAGTCGTGGACGTGCGAAGGGGCTCGCTTCGCTCGCCCCGCGGGGGAGGCGCTGCGCCCTCCCCCGCACCCCCTCCCACGATTTATGAGTGACACCCCTCACCGCTGCTGCATGTTCGTGACGACACAACACACACCTAGAAAAGCAGACGTGTGTATGACGCATGGCTATTAGACATGTGTATGACGTCATGTATGTATGTGTGGGGACACATACATCGCTAGAAAAAATGACAGGTATGTATGTCTGCATGTGTATGACGCATGGGAATTAAACGTGTGTATGACGTCATGTTTGTATGTGTGGGGAAACATAGATCGCTAGAAAATGACAGGTATGTATGTCTGTTATTGGTATGAATGTATGTCTGGGGAAACATACATACCTAGAAAATTAGAGGTATGTATGTATGTTAAAGGTATGTATGTATGTCTGGGGAAACAGACATACCTAGAAAATTACAGGTATGTATGTATGTCTGGGGGAACATACATACCTAGAAACTAGAGGTATGTATGTAT